AGATGGATTATGCCATTCCTTTGCAGAAAAAGGTCTCCCTGCGCTCAGAATAAACCTTAGAGCCTTTACTAGGGCCCTAGGTGACAGCCCCTGGCCTGATCTCCACTGAACTAGCCAGCTTCTTCTCTCCTATGACTTACCCGTGCAGAACTCTCTCTGTTCCTTAGGCTGTCCTAGCCTCCATGCTCACAGTACCTTCTATCTTGGAGGCACTGGTCCAGATCTTTGCCTGGATAACTTGCTGGTGATCATTTGGCTCTCAGCTCAGCTCTTTGTCTCAGTTAAAGGCTCTTCCTGCTCAGTTCTAGCTTTCAGGGCTCCTTTCTGGTCTCCTGGGCTCCATGCTACACACCCATTCAGCTTTTTCCTCCCAGAGAGGCCCAGCTGATGTAGCATAGGCTTTCGATGTAGACACATCTCTGCTCCTCCCAGGCTGGGAGGCCTTGGACATGTGTCCCGATCTTAGAGAGTCTCAGTTAATGCAGTCACCAAATGGGGATAGCCATAGTACTTAGGGCCTGGCAAAGAGGGGTGGAAGCTGTCAGCAAAGGTATTCGGCGCTTAGAAGACAGCAGGGAAGGTCAGCTCCAAGCAGCAACGGAACTGGTCCTATCCACACCTGCCACGTGTTATTTCTGGGTACCCCTCCCTCAGCTTCCTGTTACGTGGCAGCCCTGACGGCTGTCCAGGGAAGGAGCACGGCTTCCTCTTGTCCTGCCCTGTTTGGACCCAGATGTGTGAAGCTCTCCACCTCACACTGCGAGCTCCCCGGCAGCCTTCTACTTCCTTCCTGAGTCCTCCCTCTCCATCTCAGTTGTCCCCAGCCCATTACTCCAGGTATTTAGTATTTTCACATTATTGCCATTGACAAAGAGATGCCCACTAACACATGCTATGGTGCTAGTACTGTCTTGGCTTTTAAAGATACCATGCTGAGTACCTGTGACGTGGCTGAGAGAGAGAGAGAGAGGGAGAGAGAGAGAGAGAGAGAGAGAGAGAGTAAAGAGGATGGCTCCTGCTACCAAGCCCAAAGATCTAACTTTGATCCCCAGAACCTACATGTAGAAGAATGGAGCCGTGATGTGAGTTACATTTGGGGTCGATAGTAAAGTAGGATCTCACTACATAGCCCAGGCTGGCCGTGAACTCATGATCCTTCTGCCTCTACTTCCAAGAGTCAGCAGTACAGCTGTGTGTCACCATACTCAGCTCAAAGCCTTCCGTTAAATCTTGTTTTTTAAAAAAAATTTTTTTGAGACAGGATCTCATGTAGCACAGGCTTGCCCATGCTTCTCATGTACCTGAGAATGACCTTGATCCTTCTGCATCTCCCTGCAAAGGCTGGAATCATAGAAGATTAGGCCACCATTGCTGCAACTTCTATTAAATCTTTAGGGGGCTGTTGCCCTACTGTTTTCACATTCCCACTGTCTGAGACTGAAGACTCCCCAAAACAGCCCCCGGGTGTGGCGAGGACTTGGGTCTGGACTTAAGAGAGATTTCCCCAAGCATGGGAGACATCTTCCATGGCCATGCCCCATGCATCAGCTCCCTATTCCCAGGAAGAAGGAGATATGAGTGTCTCCCCTGGCCCCAGAGAGCCTGCCCCACCTCAGCCAAGGTCCTGGGTCTAGTTTTTCCCACCAAGGAGAAAATAGCAAGAAAAACAGATGAGAGCCGATACCCTGTGCTGCAGGGTCGGCTGGGACCCGGTGCTGGAGGAGCCCCAGGAAAGCTCTAACCCCAGGGGCTTTTGGGCAGTCAAGAAGGGTAAGGGGCAGAGGGGGAGGAGGCCCCTTTCCAGGCGTACTCTCTTCCATCTGGGACACTGTCAGTGTCCATCTCCTCTGTCCTCAGTGTCCACATGTGGGTCTTGGGTTAGACCCCACTCTCAGCACTTGAGGTCACCTGGTTCATCTTCCATTTTTGGGTGGTGTCCTTCTTAAAAAGATACAGTCTTTCCCATGTTAAAGCAAAGGGTATTCTGAATCTGCCTCCATCTGCATCTAACTGACCCAGTTATCTTGGGTCCTGAAGGGCTTCAAAGTAGGAGATGTGGGCAAATAGACATTCTTATCTGTATTACTGCCGTTCTGTTACGTACTGCACGCCCACACAGCATGGCTAGAGAGTTCCCCTGAGATCTGGCTGTGAAATGGCTTTACAGACTATAAGAAAGATATGAAGGAAAGATTCGATGTGCAGTGCTTGGGAGAGAAACCTTTGACCCCACCCTTCCTGCTCTGTCTGCAGCCCCTCTACTCTGGAGGAGGTTCACCTTGCTTGACCACCTTCCACCGGAAGGGGGTCAGGATGGTACCCCATACGGTGGTCTGCCCTTTCTGTGTTCTTTTCTAGAAATTCTTGCCCAGAATTTGCTTTCCTGTGTTCGGGAAGGCCATGGAGGGGGTGGGCGCTTGAAGATGCCCGTGGGCCCAACCTGGGGGAGCTGTTTGAATAGCACTAGGACTGTGTTTGCTGAGCTCCTAGAGGCACTGGGAAGTTGCAGGCTTGTGTTTGTCTAGGAGCTTGATGGGGTAAGAGCTCAGGCTGTGGAGTATTCAGAAAGTATTTGCAGAGTATTTGAACATATATTATCTCATTTTTATACCAATCATCCTTACCCTATGAAGCAGAAAGGAGGAAGTGAGTTAGCAAAGCTGCAGACTCTGTGCCTGCATTCAGTTCTTTTGACTACAAAGGATTCGGCAGCCTGGCTGTGCTGCCGCAGATATGAAAGAGGAGAATGGCTTCCACTGCAGTGGCAGACTGAGGCACCAGGGAGCGAGCCAGCTCTGTGGCTTTTTGATAGTTTGGGAATGCAGGAATCTTATTATCACAGAAGCGGGGGCGGCCAGGGCTTTAAAGGTGTTAGGGTTGGCTGGAGCCCTCCCCTTCTTTGTTGGGGTGAAGGGAGAAAATATGAGGTTCCAAAAGCCCTTCTAGTGCTGGCCTTTCACAGGACCATCTGCTTCTCTTAGTTATCCTCCATCTTCGTAGCCCGTGGAAGCAGGTGGGTGTCAGTGGATGCTTATGGGTCCAGAAGAACTGGGGCTAAGAAAGAGAAATCTGTGGATCTCCCCAGCACAGGACAGAGGAAAACACTTGCGGCCCTCCCTCTGCAGCCCAGTGCTCAAGAGGCCACCCTATCCCTCTCAGTTGCTGCATTGGAAAATAACAATTGTGCAAGCTGCAGCCACTCTGCCAGCTCCTTGGCACAGAGCTGGGCAAGCCCTAGCCTTTGGTATTCTCTTCAACACTAGAGTGCAGGCAGAGCACACTATGGCCGGCTGCTGGGTAGTGTGACTTTAAGGGAAGTGGGAAGCCCCCAGCGATATTATTAAAACCCTCAACCTTCCGTGGCAAGAGACGCTGTCACCTCTGGCTGGTAGGCAGCCTTGTCTGCTGTGAGTCATTCCAAATGTGTATGTCTTCTGTGTCTACAGAGTTGGAAACCATGGAAAATTCTAACTCTTGGCATCATTTTGCTTTGAAGGGCACATCGTGATGTAGTACCCTTATTTCCTTGCTTTTGTGTTATTGTCACTTCACCCAAAATATGAACTACATAGGGCTGGCAGGATGGCTCAGTGGATAAAGGAAGCCACTTGCTGCCATGCCTGACAATAATCCCTGGGACCCACACGGTGAAAAGAGAGAACTGGTTCTCCCAAACTGTTCTCTAACCTCCACAGGAGCATACACACACACACACACACACACACACACACACACACACACACACACACACACAGTATAATAAAAACTTAAAAATATTTGAGCAGGGGATGGAGAGATAGTTCTAGGGGGTTCAGCGCCCTCACACAGATAGGCATGCAGGCAAAACATCAATGAGGGTAAAAGAAAAAATAAATCAATCACATTTTTAAAAGGATAAACAAATATGAGCTATGTAGAGGCAGAAGTGTATGACTTGTTCCTAGCACAGAGAACAGTGCGTTTCACAGAAAGCCTTGATGAGGATCCTCGGAGAACGGCATCAGTGCGAGTGTGCCAGTGAGTGGATGGGAGAAGTAGGAAGTAATAGCAGATGCTCAGCAAAAAAAAACAAAAACAAAAAAAAAAAAAAAAAAAAACAAAACAAAAACCAAAAAAAAAAAAAAAAAAACAGGCTTTCTTCCCTGAGAATCCTCCCAATTAGTCGAGCATTGCTAACTGGGTCCTTGACATCAGCCTGTGTAATGACTAGAAGGGGAATGGGAAGCCAAGGAGGCAGGAGATGAGATGCTCATGGCTAACAGAGCAGGACCAGAAGTGGGCCTGGTGTGGAAATGCTTCTTGGGACTCTCTCAGTTTGTTCATCATCTGACTCTTTGGGCAAATGGAGACAGTCGGGGAGCTCAGGGCAGCGCTGTTAGCTTCTGCATGGCCTTAGGAAGGCTTCTTAACCATTTCCAACCTCTGTCTAGTGGGCTGTCCTTATACTGACACCCCCAGGGCTGTTACAACCCAACAGTGAAAAACCAGTAAGGCACAATGAGTGAGTTGCATTTGAGCCATTTGCTTCTTTCTTTCTTTCTTTCTTTCTTTCTTTCTTTCTTTCTTTCTTTCTTTCTTTCTTTCTTTCTTTCTTGGTTTCTTTGAGACAGGATCTCTATGTTGCCCTGGGTGTCCTGGAACTCACTCTCTGGACCAGGCTTGCCTTAAACTCAGGGATCCTCCTGCCTCTGCCTCCCAAGTGCTGGGATTAAAGCCATGTGCCACCACTGACTGGCATCTGTTATTATATTTATCACTAGTCAGGATTTCTTCCCTCTGTTGGAGGAGAAATGAGGTGACTTTACAAACTCTGGGCTAATTTTAGATCCTAGGTCCTTGGACTAAAGACAGACAGACAGACAGACACACACACACACACACACAGAGGGCCTTGGATGTGGAGAAGCTTCCTCTTAGAGCCCCGCAGGGGCAGGTGAGCCTTGGAGGAGGGGCCCACATACGGTCATGAGGCCGCTTCTCATTCGTGCTCTTCCCCGCAGGTACAAGACAGTGGTGACCCAGCGGCGGGCAGCAGTGGCCATAGCCGGCTGCTGGATTCTCTCCCTTGTGGTGGGCCTGACGCCCATGTTCGGCTGGAACAACCTGAGTGTGGTAGAGCAAGCCTGGACAGCTAATGGTAGTGTGGGCGAGCCTGTGATCAAGTGTGAGTTCGAGAAGGTTATCAGCATGGAGTACATGGTCTACTTCAACTTCTTCGTCTGGGTGCTGCCGCCGCTGCTCCTTATGGTCCTCATCTATCTGGAAGTCTTCTACCTGATCCGCAAGCAGCTTAACAAAAAAGTGTCGGCCTCCTCAGGGGACCCACAGAAGTACTATGGGAAGGAGCTGAAGATTGCCAAGTCGCTGGCCCTCATCCTCTTCCTGTTTGCCCTCAGCTGGCTGCCACTGCACATCTTGAACTGTATCACGCTCTTCTGCCCCACCTGCCAGAAACCCAGCATCCTTATCTACATCGCCATCTTCCTCACGCACGGCAACTCGGCCATGAACCCCATCGTCTATGCCTTCCGGATCCACAAGTTTCGGGTCACCTTTCTGAAGATTTGGAATGACCATTTCCGGTGCCAGCCCAAGCCTCCCATTGATGACGACATCCCAGAGGAGAAAGCCGATGACTAGACTCTTGCTTGCTCCCTCCAGGCCACACCCGGTGGCTCTCTGTTCAGCTCTCTGTTCCCATGTCCCCACTGTCCCACTGTTTCTCCTCAGCTCCCCCAGCTGGGCTGTGGAATGTGGGCACCGGAGGATCTGAGGAGGTGCCTTAGAGGAGGGTCCCTTCTCCCAGGAGCCAGCTTCCCTGTACCTTGGGGATCTGGAGGAGGCTTGGAAGTGGGACAGACTATGGCAGGGACCTGGGTGCCGTGACAGGGGTGTCTTGAGTGCCCCATTCCTGGCTGTTCTCTGAGCAGTACAGAGATTCAGGGCTAGAATATTCTGCACCTACTGTCAGATGGAGGAGCCAGCTATTAGATAATAGTGGCCAAAGGACCAACCTTAAGGAGAGTATAAGACCCCCTCGGAGGCAGGGGGATAGGAAGAAATGGGTATATCCTGGCTTTGCTTTCTCTCCTGTTCTGTAGGAAATGAGAGCAAATCACAGGGAAGAAGACTTCAGCCCCACCTCCAAGGATTTTTGTGCTCCTATCCATGCAGGTGCTGTGATGCCTGCACTCCTTACCCTGAGAAGCTTGGGGTTATACTTGGGAGAGGCAGAAAGAATGGGTCCAGGGATCCTCTCTCACATTTGCTGTATTCATAGTCCGGGACTCCAGCAGGCCTTTTTAAGCCTTTGGGAACAAGCATGGTGCAGTAAGTGCTGGCCTCCAATAGCCAGCAGGGGGCAGCACCGAGCCCCATTTGCCCTGAACTTCCTAGGAGTCTCGGAGGTAACTTTCTGTCTGGGCCGCCACACTTTACCAACTCTCAGAGACAGGCCTGGACTCTTCTGAGCGACACCATCTCTGCTTCTGGGCCCCAGAAGAGTGCTCCAGACAGGACAACCCCTGGGAGCATTCTGCCTGAGTGGGGAGGAGGGAGAGGAAAGCATCCCAGGTGACCACAGGCACTCCTGCTGTGGAGCCAGACCAGACCAAAGGAGACCTCTGTCTTTAGTGTGAGGGATTGCCTTGCTGGCAATTAAATATCCAAAACGCTCCTGGGGAGGGGGGGTAGAGGCGGATTTAGCTCAGTTTTTAGGGTCTTCAAAGGCTGTAGGCTTTTGAGGGTCTCAGGACCCATCCATACCCCGCTGAGCCTGGATTTCTTCCCTGTGTGGACAGCAGGCAGGGGAGGGTGACAGGTTCTGAGTGTAAACATTGACTCCAAGTCTGGACTGCAGGCTCTTTCCTCAGTTGGAGGTAGGGCGGCTCTGGCCCTCAAGGAGGCCCCCATGTCTAATAAAAGACTGTGAACCCCTGTGGAGCATGCAATGCTGGCGCTACCCCAGCGCTGTCAGAGGGCAACCAGACCACCTCAGCAGAGACGATGGTGTAATGGCTGGGGTGCGGGAGAAGCTGGGAGAGGGGAGTGCAGGCAGATGGAACAAGGAAGGCTCCCTAGATAGTGTGTCTGTTGCTATAGTTACACATTTAGGGTGGCACACTGTGAATCAGAGAGTGAGATCCAGAGCACTCACATGTCTAAAAAATGCCCGTGTCGTCATGAGACCCTTCCTGCTGGCGCTCTCCTAATTTTGATAGTGTCTCCTCTTCAGAGTGACGAGTCTCTTCCCATCCATCATGACAGTCACAGCCACAGAGGCCCCAGGCTATAACACCACATACCTTTATTTGAATGCTTCTCACCCCGTGTACAACTCTGCAGGGGGTGCCAGTCTCTACATCTTTGGGACCCTTGTACCCAGGAGGCCTGACCTGGGGCCTGCCAGGCCCACTCCTGGGTCTGGACTCCAGACTCTGGTAGAGGGAGACCTCCAGGCACCAGAGGCCTCTCCATTAGCTGTTCCTATGGTATCTTGGTCTTGGGTATCTGAGGAGGGACATCTGGGGTCTGCAGGACCTGGCAGAGGATGTTCTTCTGAAACCTTCTATGTGACCAAGCTGCCAGAAGAGATGTTGGGGAGTCGGGTAGAGGGCCACCTTCACCCTTCTTTGTCCTTCCTCAGGCTCAATTCCCAAGGCTGAGTTCTGCCTAATGCAGCTCTAGAGACTTCCTAGTTTACCCAGAGCCTCAGAACCACCAAATGATGAAGGCAGGGCAGGGGCTGAGTCCTTCCTTTTCTGATGACGAAAAAGGTGCAAAGAGAATGTCTATGTTTACAGTCACTCAAAGCCAAGACTAGACCTGTCCTGTGACCCTTCCCTTCCCTCTGGACCTCAACAGCACAGCACAGCCCAGCACCATCTTTACCAAACTCAACTCACATGCTAGTTATCTTTAGCTGCAAAATTTCACCCAGGTCTGCCTACTGCCTTCCCTCACTACCCACCCCTTTCCAGTGACATTTTGTGCCCGGGAGGCAGATTCTCCCTTCCCAATCTTCTCTTTGCATTGTGCTCTGACTGGCAGCTGAAGGAGTGGGTTCAGACACTCACCTGTCTCCTAGACCCAGTCTCTGCCCATGTTGCTCTTCAGTGTGTGGCAGAGGCTGAAAGAGATCTACAGGTTAGAGCTTGGGGAAGACAGGAGGGAATGGAGAGGTTCAAGGTCAATGAGCCCGAGGGCTCCAGTTCCCAACTAGGGCATCTTCCCACTTAGGAAGTCACACAAAGTGTCCTTGGCCCCTTTCTAGCCCTTGTCTCCTGCTCCAGTTTTCACTCCAAGCCACATCTAGTCCATCTCCAAAGAGGGACTTGCCCTGTCCACTATGGCAACCTTCAGACTCTCACCTTTGACCTCCAACCGACAATCCACAGAGGCCTCCCCTAGTACATTGATGGCCTTGCAAGTATAGACCCCAGAATCAAAGGGGCTGGGTTTCCGGATCTCCAGGGTGCAGACCCCTTGCTCAGAAACTGCGCGGTACTTGGGGTCACCCTGGATGTCCATCTTGTTTTTCATCCAGATGATCTTGGGCTGGAGGTAAGGTCAGATGAGGGATAATGACGTAAGAACACGGGTTGGAACCAGCTTTCAAGAGAAAGTTTCAACCCCGCAACCTCTACCCGCCTCGCCAGCCCAGGACCGCTCACCTTAGGCGACGCTCGGACGCTGCAGAATAGTTGGGTGCTATAGCCAGGCGTGGAGGTGTGGTCAGCCAAGGGCTGGGTGAATGAGGGTGCTTCCGAGAAGTCTCGCTCAACAAACTCTCTAGGTTTGGCAGTAATATCTGGGTTCAGGGGGGACACTGAAGTTAGAGGAGTGCAGGGGGCTTCATAAGACTGGCCTCAAGCCCACACTCTGGGATGCTCAGCCTGGCCAACGTGGAACACCAGAGAAAGGGGAGTGGGTGAGAATACCAGAGCCACAGAGGAGTGTGGCAGAAGGGGCATCCCATTCCATCTCTGTCTTTGAGACCTGGATGGCTTTCCTTTTTGAAACACAAAATTCTTATGGCTGTGCCACACTGGCTGATGTTAAAGAGTGTGGCTTCCCTGGAGAGTGAGATGCTCAGCGGGTAAGAGCCATTGCCACCAAGCTCGACACCATGAGTTCAATCCCGGGACTCACATGGTAGGAGAGAACTGACAAGTCGTCCTTAGACTTTCACATGCACGCGTGCGTGTGAATACACACTCACACACCAATAAATGTAATTTAAATGAATAATGGTTAAGAGTGTGGCTTCCAGGGTCTGTGTGTGTGTGTGTGTGTGTGTGTGTGTGTGTGTGTGTGTGTGGCATGGAGAGGATCTGGGATAGGCAGGGGTTGAGGTCCTGGGGTTTCATATTTGACCCCACCGCTCAGATGCCTGATGGGACAGTAAATACCACAGCAGGTCTTTGTGTGGGGAGGTCTCTGTCTTTATAAACTGCCAGTCTACCTAGCATGTACACCTTCCCCTTTACGCCTGGGGGGCACTGTGCCGGAGACCCCATGGCCACTGTAATGTTATCAGCCACGTGCGGGGCACTGCTCATTTGCATGGCTTTGCTCTGATGTTTGCTGAAACCGATCAGTCATACCGGCTGTTTACACTCACCCCATGTCAGTGTGTACCCACACACAGAGCTGTCGAGTGGGGGTGGGGGTGGGGTGGGGGAAAGGCAGAAAATGTTCCAGCGAGCGGTGTCTAGGGAGAAGCTGACAGGGATGTGGGGACACGGAAGAGGAAGTGGAGACAGATGTTGGCACACCAATCCCGATTCGGTTTTCTGCCCAGGCTCAAAGCCGCTTACCTGTTTTCTGGATGTGAGCCAGCTCCTTGGTAGTGGTGGCTAACTCGCTGAGGCCACACAGGTTTTCCGAGAAGACCCGAAAGGAGTAGGAGTTGCCGATGATGAGGTCTGAGACGGTGCAGGTGGTGGGGTGGTAGCGCTCCAGCACCGTGAACCATTGCTGCAGGGACCTTGGCTGGGTTACACTGGGCTCTTACCCAGTCTGTCATTCCTGCTTACTGTAATCTCCCTTGGGGACGGGGATGCACTGCATGTCCCAGCTTTGGGAAGCTGAGCCATCCAGCACTGGGCCTGAGGAAGTGGGAGAAGGACCTCCTAGGGCGCTCACAGGAACCTCGACTCTGTGGCTGGCAGTGTGCAGCCTCATCACCTGGGCACTATTTAGACATTTGGTCTCCCAGCTCCCTGCCCCAACCACCTGTTTCAGAACCTGCACTTAGATTCCCAGATGGTTTATATTCATAACAAGATAGCTCCAAAGCAGCCTAGTGCAGTGCACCATGCAGACTGAGGTAGAGGGAGGGCAGAGGCTGCCCACAGCCGCACATGGAGTCAGTCAGCGGTGGCTGGCCTGGCCTTCCATCCAGAGCCTCTTAGCGGGATGGACCTTTTTGGCTTGGACCACTTCTTTCCCTATCCCAGCCAGCCTCACCCCTGTCTTTTTGTCTGCCTTCTGCACGGTGTAGCCCAGGAGCTCTGTGTTGCCTGTGTCCTGAGGTGGAGTCCACTCGAGGGCAGCATTGCAACCCCAGACGTCCAGTAGCTTGATGCTGCTCGGGGGCCCAGGCTTCTCTAGGAGCAGGTTATGAAGGGAAGTGAGGGCAGGCAGGCCTCCTGCAGCCTCCACACCCAAGATTTGGCCCTTGCCATGACACCCTCACACACAGTTCCGGGGTGGGAGGTGGGGGGTGACACAATGGTTTTGAGACAGCCTTTTCCCCCTTTGCCCTTGTACCAATCACCAAGATGTCAATGCTGGCCTTGGCTTCCAAGCCTTCCAGGTGCACCGTGAGCTCATAGTGGCCCGAGTCTGCTCGCTGAGCTGAGCGAATAAAGAGGATGGAGTCCTGGTCCCCACTGCGCACGTTTACTCTCTGGCTGTCCAGGGCCTGGCCGTTGTGGGTCCAAGAGGCCTGAGGCTTGGGCTTTCCCTGACAAAGACAGGCTTGGGGTGAGTACAGATCTGTATGAGCACCCCACTCCAGCTGTGCCTGGCATTCCTGCCCTCCTGTTCCCACAGTTGCTGCCCCGAGCCGTGTCCTCGGTGTGTGGCCTGCCTATCTGGGAGCTGCCTATCTGTCTACTCACGGCTGAGCTGTGTGCAAAACTGGGGAAGAGGCAGCCATCAGTATGGGTCCCCTGTGAGTCTCCAGTGAGAATCCTGGAGAATCCTGACATTGCCAAGTCTCCCCTATGCATCAGGCTCTTACCAGTGAGGCACGCCTACCTGGAAGGGAATTTGCAGGTTGACCGGCTCTCCCACATGGCGGATGTAGGTCTGACGAAGGTGTCGGGGAACACGGATCTTGGGGGCTTCTAAGGCAGGAGAAAGGGAAAGCAAGTGTGAGTGCCTGGCTAGACGGGCAGCTCCTACCTACTATATCCCCACTAGCTGGGCTGCCTCTTCTTTGGGAGGGCACAACCTTCAATGCTGAGATCAACAGACCCAAATCCCTTAAGGCCCTTGGGGAACTGAGCGCTCAGAGTAAGCTCTAGAGAGGTCAGGGACTATACAGTGTGAACAGGTTGGTATCTCTGGCACTCCCTTGGCACCTGAACCCTGCCAGGCTGGGATTTGCCTTGAGGTCCAGGCATTCTCAAGCTCCAGATGGGCCTGGATGGCTCACTGTCTCCCCCTGGAGGCAGACAGGCTCTGCACCTGTCACCAGGTGTGGCTGGAGAGGGGAGCAGTGAGCTATACTGCTGATTCAGTGCATGCACCCCAGGAGCCCAGGACTTTCTGAGAATGTGAAACCTCACTGGCTCAAGCCTCCACCTCCAGGCCTGCCTGGAAGCTCAGGCTCTTTGTACAGAAGCTAGAGCAGATACACAAACTTCTTCCTCTGTTGGCCTTTCAGTCTTCCAGTGTCATGGTGGCAAGTCCTTCCCGAAGTCTTAGGTCAGCCTCCTACTCTGTTAGGGAACCCATTCCTGCCTATGGCCTAATCAGGTGCTACTGGACATTCCAAGGGAAACTGCAGCAGCTGCCACTCCTGTCCCTGGGGGATGGTGTGGGGACTGAGCCTAAGCCTCCTAAGCGGCAAACAGGTGGCAGCAGTTGGCCAGAGGCATGTCGGGAGATGTGGTGAGAAGGAACACTGTGTCTCCAAGGATTAGCTGAGCAGGCACTTGGCTGGGGAGATCATGGTTTGGAATGCTCCAGGGACAGCTCCAGGAGGCTAGGAATGCCTGGCAGCTCCAGGTGGCCAAGGAAGGGACAGCTGAGCAGACCAAGGATCCTGGACAAGGCCCATACCCTGCCCTGCCCTGCCCAGCCCATGAGAGGTCTGGCTGTTCATAGCCCGTTCATAGCCTCCTCCCCACTTTCTCTCCAGGAAATCCCCTTCTCTCCTGCCAGAGGAATTTTAATGGCAAAGTAGGTGAGGAGTCTGGCTTGCTTCTTCAACACCAAGGCTCAGAGGCATCTCAGAGGCTGAGCTTCTCGGGGCCCCAGGGGAGGGTCTGGGACTCTGCCAACCAGGCCGGAGTCAGCACAGACATTCTGCTGCTTATGTGTGTGTGTGTGGGGGGGGTGCTATCTCACCCAGATAATATCCTGGCTTTTGAAAACCACCAGAGCAGATGTCCAACAGCTCCGTGTCTAAGAACAGTCCTGTGTGGGCATCTGAGACTACTGAAAGACTGCGTGACTCTGTGGGAGTGCCTGGGCTCCTTGGGATCTTCCAGGTTGGATAAGCTATGGCAGCCTTTGGTTCTGGTCTCCTGTGTCTTTAGACTGTAAAGCAGCATATTTCCTTGAATCCAAATTTGACTCCTCCTATGGCTGAGATGCCCTCTCTTCCTAGAGGCCTTGACTAGAAAAAATAGGGTTTTATCTCCGACCTCCATCCATCCCTCAAGAAACAAGAAGGAAGATGGAGAAGGCCTCAGACCATCTGCTTGCCCATGTCTCTCTTCACCCTGGGGCCCTGCACTGTCCCCAGAGACCTGAGATCAGACCAAATGACTCACTGTCATTAACAATCTGAAACTTGATCAGCTTTGGGAGCGGAATCAGGGAAGGGCGAAGTCTAGTACACCCTGCAAATAGAAATATTAGCAACAGGGACAGCAGCTGGCCTCTGGGTCCTCACAGGGGCACTGCCCTTGGGATGAAGGAGCCGTCATGGTCCCTTTGCACAGCCCATTTTTCTTTCCCTTAGAGCCAGGGTACAGGGGGCAAGCAGGCCTCCCCTGTGTTCCAGATTCTCTAGAGAGCCTGGAACCCAGGTTTGAGAAAATAGAAAATGGACTTCCATGGCTTTAGAGATTAGGATTAGGAAGAAGTAAGAATGGATGGCTTCTAGCACTGGGAGCCCTGAGCTTCATCCCTGGGCAGCGGGAAGCTGCTCCCTGATGGTTGGGGGGCTGGACCATTCAGGGAAGTGGCTCCCTTGACCTTCTTCTTGCTGTTGAAGAACCTGAAGCTTTCACAAGGCAAGACACGTTAGCATGTGGCTTGTGCATGTGAGTGTGAGAGGGGAGAAATGGCTGCCTTGGTTCCATTGACCATGGCCTCAGTTTCCCTATTACATCCAGTCTGTGATCGAGAGGCGAGGAGGGTCTTTACCAATGATCTCTTGGATGTGGATGGGCTGGTCCAGCACGGCTGGGGGGCCTGCCCCCGCAGAGCTCACTGCAGTCACACGCACGAAGAACTTGTCTCCAAGGGCCAGGTTTCGAACCGTCTGCTGGGTCACCATCACAGGCCGGGGATTCACAGGCACCCATTCTGAGGCTGAGGGCAGTGGGGAATGCCTGGGTCTGAGTGATGTGGCAGGGGCAATCTTCTCATGGGGGGGTCCCTTTTAAAGGGAGACTTACAGAAGCTGACCTCGCTATTGGGTAATAGTCTCTCATGCCCCCTTCCCTGACTTTGTAACTCCAAAGATGGCTGGCGCTAGAGCTCTGGGCTGGTGGCTAGAGCTAGGGATGCAGAAGGCAGAGAAGGCTGGGTACATTCACCAAATGACACACAGCAAGATGGGGGCAGACAGAGGCTGTCGGTGTGGGGAGGTTACACTTCTCCTAACTGTCCTCACTCTTTCCTGTCACAGTCCCCTCCTTTGTATCATCCCCACGTTCTGCCTACTGAGTTAATGACCCCTGAAAAAGTCCTCTGAGCTATAGAATCTCCTTCTTGTCAGATCAGGGTTCCCCACCCCTCTAGTCCTCAGAGGCTTCCTGGAGCTGGAGGGTGGGAGGCCTCCCAAGAGGTGGAAGTCTCTGTGTCTTCAGAGGTCCCTATGGAGCAGGCGGTGGTAGCCAGGCAGCTATAGCCACTGCTTGCTCCTTCTGCCTTCCTATGCCTTGGACTGACCCATCTCAGGGACTGTGCTTGTCCATGCTGCTCTAGCCCCCCTCAGCAGGGCGGAAGCTGGACTCAGCCCTTTGCGCTCACCTCCCTGGCGGCAGAACTCCAACACATAGCCTTGAAGCCCCAGTTTCCCCAGCTTCTCGGGGGGCTCCCAGCTTACAGTCAAGGAATTGTGGCTCACGTCCTCCAGGGTCAGCCGCAGTGGGGCACTGGGGCCATCTGAGGGTGGGGGAGAGCAGGGTGAGATGGAGAGCCCCCCGCATACCTGCCTCCCTTCTCCACCTGGACGCCCTCTAGTCACCTTCATGTGGAGGTTCAGGCTTAGTGGTGGCTGGTATGGCGGGGGCTTCAGGGACTGCAGGGTCCTGTGCCTGAGATCCAGGCTTCTGTGGCTCTGAAGCCTGCTCTTGCCCAGTGGACTCTGATGCTGCCACCTCTCCAGAGAGCTCTGTGGGTGCCTTGGCTGGCTCAGGCACTGTCTCCTCTGAGGCAGAAGCCTCAGAGGCAGTTTTTCCTGTCATTTCTGAGCTGGCTGAGGGGTCAGGCAGGAGTGTTTAAGGGTCAGCAGCAGGTCTGGCCCTCCAGGCTAGGTCCAGGCTTATATAGGCAGGGGCTGCCCCACCCCCAGCAAACCATTCCCAGCTGTGGGGTCAGGTCAGGCAGGGGGACAGGGGGGCAGGGAGCACCCACGCCAGGAATAGCTCTGGGGGAGGAACCACAAGGGCCCCTTGAGGAGTTTGCTACCTCGCCATCACCCCAGCTAGACCTCACAGCCAGGGAGCCAGTGCCCAGATCAGGGAGGGCATAGATAGGTGAGCTGGGACATCACAGGGCCCCTCAGAGGTTGAATAATGAGACCTTCCATCTGGAAAAGAGGATAAAGTCAATTCCATGAGTCTGGTCTTCTCAGGGCCCCCTCGGGCCTGAGTCTCGTGGGAGTGGAGCCTGGAATTAAGAATACTTGAACCATATTTTCCCAGGAGCACCCCCACTTTTATCTTCTCACTCTGCCTTGATCTCATAGTCTCTGGGGACTCTCATGTATACTGTGAGAGGCCAAGGACCCCACAGAGGTGAGAAGGGAGATGCTCAGGTGAGGCTGGCCCAAGGCCAGTGTGAATCCTAGGAAAGGGGACCATCTTGGTTAGTTTTCAGCTGCTGGAATATCATGCCACAGGCTGTGTGGATTATAGACAATGGAGGGTGGTTTTTCTCAAGGCTCTGGAGGTTGAGAAGTCTAAGACCATGGCCCCTGCATCCAGTGAAGAGCTTTGTGTGTCAGAACACAGAGAATGGGCTCGCCAGACAGGAAAATGGACTCAACACTTGCTTTCTATCTAGTTCCCACTCTGGAACTAATGAACACATTCCCTTAATAATGATATTAAACAACTTACAAGGGAAGTATACTGTGGCCTAATCACTTTTATAAAAGTCCCCATGTCTTTATACTGTTAGTGACTTAGAGGAACTTTAGAGGGAACATTCCAACCACAGCAGGGGCCAACTCTCCCCACCCCATCTCCTGTGGGAAGACTGGAAAGCCTCTGTTTTCACTAATGCCCAGAACTCAGTTTCCCATAGCTTACCGAGAACCCTCACCCTTGAGGATAAGACCGGCAAACTTGAATCTCCTAAACCTCTTCAAAAAGGAACCTAGGCACAGACTTTCCTAGTGTGGGGAATGAGGCAGGTTGAGCCAAATTCCTAGTCACTGATCTATTTATTCAAGAAGAGGTTAAGATTGGTAATAATTTGAAATCCAGAAAGTACCGAGTGTCAGGAGTAGGAAGAACAGTCAAATTTTTCTGTGGGTGGGAGTGTGGATCGGAGCTTTGAAACAATTCATCAGGGAACTGGTGGCAATGACAGTGTGCCTAAGCGGTGGCTCTGGGCACCCGGCGTTCGGACTCCCAAGACACACGTTGAGACTATTTGTGGACGTGTCACTTGTAGCAGTGCAAGGCTCAGGAGACTGTCTTTGTACAGGGGATGGGTAAACACCTGAGTGTTTATGTCGTTCTAAAACAGAAGCCAAATGACCTCACAGACCAAAGGGCGAATCACAGAAACACCATGATTGTTTCGTCCTTGAAATCCAAACCCAGAGCCACATGAATTCTCATCTCCAAAGTGCATTTACAGATGGTAAGCCAAATAAAAGGAGGGTAAGGCCAAGCGTAGCCTAAAATGACAGCCTCTGGGTGAGGGGACAGGATGCATGTGAGAGTAGAGGTTTCAGAGTCTCATTGAAGTCTCCCCTTCAGTCTGTAGAAGCTCTTACATGAGATGAACATCCCTTGCACTCTCTTAAGCAGGCATGGTGTATTCTACAATTCAGGAATTAATGAACGTCTAATTTATTCTGGGCTGTCGATAGCACTCTGGCTCTCCCCCTTCTTGAGGACAGGAGCACAGCAGTATGGCTGTCTCTCAGTCCCAACTGTTTTTTGCGTGGAGTGTCAGTGAAGGGCCAGAGGAGCCTCTGGGTCCAGCTCTGCCTGGGTGTCCATGTCCTCTGTGAGGTGGCTCAGTGTTGTGCTGGGTAGGGAGAACTGATCTCCACACTGGCTTCTGACTCTGTAGCTATAAGCGAATGTGACTAACTCGACTAACTCTGCAGGACCCTGAGCCAGCCCTGAGAACCTGTCCCAAACTGGGAGAAGGGGGGTCTCTGGGGGCAGGGGCGCTTCCTAGGAGAGCTCACAGCCCTGAGATTTTAAAGACCTTGTGTGGTAGGGTGGACAATGGGCAGGAGACTGCTTGGCCCACTAGCTAGCATGAAATGCCAGGTATCCTCTACCCCTAAGACTCTGGCCCAGCACCCTGCCTTTAGCAGAGTGGTAACCTTGGAATCAGCTGCATGTGCCTGGCTCCAGCTGGTTCAGATTTCAGGGTAGCAGGATTGGCTTGGTCTCTTTAGAAGTCAACACAGAGTTACTGGCATCTAGCCAACTAATGATTAGCCCAAGGCAGATAATCCAAATGTCAAGGAGCCACAGATAAAATCCCAGTACGTTTAGAATGCATCTTCTCCAGACTCCCTGAATAGGTTCATGTCTGGGCTCTCAAGGAGCCACAGATAAAATCCCAGTACGTTTAGAATGCATCTTCTCCAGGCTCCCTGAATAGATTCATGTCTGGGCTCCTGGGAACTCACAGGACCCTGAGGGAATGGCTCCCTCCGCACAAAGGCTGTAAAACTGGCTGCTCTTTTGAGCCAATACTCTCCCATCTTCCTCCCCTGCAGTCTCAGGCCAGATTGAACAGCAAAGCTTTGATCTCTTCAGGAGCTGAGGGAACAGTGAGAAGGGGGAGTGAGCACAAGGACAGAGCTGTGTGCAAGGACAGCACCAGACTGTTGACAGCTTTCAATCCAGCAGTTGGGTTTAAGATCCAGACTGCCTTTAAGATAGCAAACTATGGGTCACTTAGGAGTATGAGGCCAGAGAGACCTTAGCCCTGGATAGCAGGAAGGGTGCATGATAGGGCGCTTCCTTTCTGGTCTAATATGCTGGGTCCCTGGGCTTTCTAACCCTATCCTGGAGTATCTTTACCACCTTTTAGAGCAGGGGTTCTCTACCTTCCCAGCGCTGCGACCTTTAATACAGGTTCTTATGTTGTGGTGACCCCAACCAGAAAATTATTTTGTTGCTACTTTATACCTGTAATTTTGCTACCGTTATGAGTCATAGTGTAAATATCTGATATGTAGGATATCTGGTATTTGACCCCCCCAAAGGTTGAGACCCACAGCTTGAGAACCCTATTCTAGAGGGTCAGAAGAAATGGACTGGGTTAATAGTTTTCTTTCCAGACCCTGCAATAGTCTCTTTCCATAAGGGCTGTAGTTTGGAAGTCTGCTAGACAATGGCTTCCACATCTGGATTGCAGTCAGTCATGCTTAGGCAAAGCTTAAGTTTCCACCCAATCTAAGGATCCCACTTTCCACTGAGGCTCCTCAGAGTCCAGCTCGGGGCATCAAGACCTCCCTACTATAAGCTCTGATCCCCATGTCTTGGAGAGAGGGATCCAGGAAAGATAGGGGAGATGAGTGCACGGTCCAGCGTACCCATAGAGACTGCAGCCAGTACAACACACTGGTAAGCTCCTGAGCTTTATTGAGCAGCTGTGGAATTAGGGAAAGGGAAGTGGGTTAGAGACACGATTATATTCTTAAGTAAAGGGTTCAAGTTGGGCTTTGCAGAGAGTATAATTAGTATAGCCACTGCATCTTGTAAGATGTTTGTCTACTTGATGGCATAACTTGCCAAAACAGTGTCCTTTGGTCAGGAGAGCTGGGGGGAAAGGTAGTTGAAGAAATTCTTTTGTGCTGGGCTTAAGAATCTGAGAATTTCCCTTCATTAGCAAGGATTTACTGAATCTATACCTCACACTGTGACTCTCACAACCCCACAGTCCCACCCTACTTCTTTGTTCATCAAGGCTAAGTCCAAATCTCAATACCCTGGCCCCTACACAGGGCTCAGCTGGGCAGGACGTAGCATTGCAGGTGACCAGTGACTTCTGGCCAGAGGGTGTGGGGTTCCATGTGGGAAAGGAACAGCTAAGCCGTAGCAAGTGCCTCCTTGATGGCATTGGTGAGCGGGAAGCGTAGGTTCTGCCCACAGAAGGAGCCTCTGAAGTCATCCAAATCCAGTGCCCATACCATGGCTCCTGCCAGCTGCTTGCTTTTCAGGTACTGCACCTGGTGGAGAAGGTCCAGAACAGGTAGAGTTGGCTCTCTGGGTGAGCTGTGGGGAAACTGTGCTCTGGGGCCTTTCCCCAGGGTACACCACACATCCAAGCTCAGCCTCAAGGCAGGAGATCAAGTCTAGCTGCTTTGGAACTGGCTTTCTTTGTTCTGAGGTGTGGCTTCGGGGAAACCTACCTTGTTTTTGACACTCTCCTGGTCATCATACCCCACCCACTGGTTGCCCTTGGTAGCATAGGGAACCTGCTGGCCAAGGATCCTATGTACTTCAGCTCCTCTGAGGAAGTCACAGATCTGAGAAAGAGAACAGGGCAGGGTGGCATGGGAGGCTTGTCAGGCCACTAGAAGTCATCCTTCAGTCTGTAGCTTCCCTCTTCTGAAGCTACAGGCTGCAGGCTTCATGCAAATTTCTAAAAAAATAGATGCAAATATCCCCAGAGTTCAACTGCTATTGCTCAAGGGCTTTAGAGATCTGACAGCCTCCTCCATCTTAAACAGGGATGTGAGGAAGTTGAGCTGACTTCCAGACCACTTGGAGCATCAGAGGCCTAGATGAAACATCCACAGAGACTCTTGACTATTGCTTTTCCTGGACTGGAATGAAGGCCCCAGGTCTGAGGCCAGAGGAATCTAGGAGCTTGGTGCCTGCTGGAGGCTTTCAGGAATAAAAGGCTTAAGCTCCCCATTCCTCTTCCTAGGGAACACTCAGGCAAATGAGCATGTTTTTATTCCCAAAGGAGAAAGTGTGTGTGGTGAGGGAGGTCCCTCTTCCCAGGGGTATCCTGAGAAGAAACATCATTACCTCATAGTAGGCAAGGGTCCCTTCTTCCTTGGTGAACGGGCCTGGTAATCCTGGCCCAGAGATTGGTGCTCCTACCCTCGTCTCAGAAGAGGCCAGGGTGAAACTCTTCCCAAAGGTGGGGATCCCCATCACTAGCTTGCTGGCCGGGGCTCCCAGTCTTAGCATGTACCCCACAGCGTAGTCCTGGGTTAGGGCGGAGAGAGCAGGACGTTAGCCAGCACATAGAGCCGTTAGTGTGCACATAGGGTTGTACAGTTAATACTGCTGCCTTGACGGTGCACTGACAGTTATATGGTGCGACTGGGAATCCCCACCCCTCTGGGAACCGATAATGCCAGTTACAAACGACTTTTAAAGGTTCGTTCTTGAAAAGCTCCTTGTAGGCACAAGAAGGGGTTATTAATGTGTGACAGACACAGAAATTAGCTGCCTGGCTCAGGATGCACAGCGAGTAAATGACAGGCTAAAGCTAGACTCCCCTCATCCCCAGCCTCTCTTCACTCTGCCCACTCCTGCCACCACTCAGTCTATGTGCTGCAAGACTTTCCTCAGTTTCTCAATCTGTGAAATGACTTTTATAACTTATTTTATAAGAAACGCACCAAAAAAGAGAAGGGTGAGCACAGGTACCCCGGCGGGGAAGAGGGCTTTGGCACCCCCTCCCACGGTCCTCCCAGGAACCCACCACATTGCTGAATCTGTCATTTCTATTGTCCGCTTGGCCTCGGAAGAGGGGGCTGTGATGTCCTGTGGCTTGGCGCCAGGCTCCATGGAAATCGTAGGTCATGAGATTAATAAAATCCAGGTGTCTGAGAAAAGGAGGTGAGGTGGGAAATTAGAGACAACCTTGATTTCACAGCCATGACCAGCGGGATGTGGAAAGCCGGCATCTGAGAAACAGAGCATTGACCCAAAGCCCAGTAGCTTCAAAGACTGCTATCCTGACTACTGGCCTATTTCTCTCGAGCCACACCCAGGTGGCTCTTGTTGGTACCTTCAGGGTGAGAATGGGCTAATCTGTGAGGCTCCCAGCACACACGTGCACACACACACACACACACACACACACACACCACGCACACGTACGAACACATACACACATGCACAAGTGCACACACACATTCGGGAACAGATGAACACACACGAATACACACGGGCATACACACATTCACAGGAGCTCTCTGCCTCACTTCACCCTCCACTCCTGGCACACTGGTCTTGGCAAAAGCCAGTTAAAAGTACCATTGACAGAGTGTGGAAGGAGCAGCGCCAAAGGCTGGCTCGGCCCACATTCGCTCATGGGGAGGGAGTGCTCAGCAGTCCTACACGGAAGGCACTGGAGACATAAGGAGGGGTCTGAGCTTTCCAGAGTCAGCACAAAAGAGTGTGCCACCTCTTTCCCATCCACCACTGAAAGCAGCAGATTAGCTATGCCCCTAAGGTTCCAGAGGAGAGTGAACATCCTTGCTCCTTCCTCCTGGGTTTCACATGGACTTGCCTGTGCCCTTGGAAGAGATGCCACTTGGATATTGGTTGTTTGAAGTCACGTGTAAGGAGAAGGGAGAGAGCACCCTGGAATGGTGGCACAGTGTATAATTCTTTCTACTACCTCTTCCAAACCCATATCATTCCAAATTAAGAGGAAGCAGAGGGCTCATTGTGGCCCATTTAACCAATGGGAAACTGGGTCAGAGATGGGGGAGACTTGCCAAAGTTGGAACTCCTGAGTCTTCATGAGATGCTAGGGCAAGGTGGGAAAAGTGTGGCCTGTGGAGGCTCCTGAGGGGCTGCCATGGCAGGGGACTCACTGGGATATCTGGGCGATGTCATAGCCATTGTCAAGGGCCACCTTCCCTGCAGACACAGCTGCGCTGAGCAGGAGTTTCTCTGTTCCAGGTTGGACTTCCTTTGTGAATTCCGCCCTTAGTTCCTGGTTGGGAGGAAGGCAGGTAAGCAAGAAGGGCCAGGCACGTGACCACCTTGCTGAACTTCGCATCTGCTGTGATCACTGTCCTGCCTGGGACTCAGGCAGAGTGAGTGGTCTGCCGCAGCCCCATCCTCAGGACACCTCGTGCTTTCACTAAGGATGATCTGAGGGCTGGGGAATAGCTTAGTCTGTCAAGTCTAGGGACCTGAGTTTGACCCCAGAACCTGTATGATGAGAATACGAAGCCAGGCATAATGGTGCATGCTTGTAATTCCATCACTGGGGAAGCAGAGGCGGAGAGATTCCTGGGGTTCACTGGCCAGCCAGCCTAGTCTATTGGGTAAGTTCCAGGCCAAAGAGAACCTTTATCTCAAAAGAGCAAAACAAGGTGGATAGTGCCTGAGGAATGACACCGGAGGTTGGCCTCCACACATATCTTGCACATATGTGCATGCACCCTTATATGTGCACATCCACCCCCCACACACTCAAACGTGCATACATATATGCATACACAATACAGTTTGGCCCAACATTATTCTGAAGTCCCATGCATACCCATTAGCAGTTAATGACTCTCTGTCCTGGAGGGGTCATCATATGGCAGGTGATGACCTTGGAAGACATGTGCCTTTTAGTCTGCACTTGGTTTTACATGAAATTACAAGTTCAAGGAGATCCACCATGGCACTGTAGACAATTCTTCTACACCATCTCTCTGACTCTAGAGATGCTTGGGCCCTCAGATTGAGCTAAGTACATAGCACATGTTGGAGAGCTGGTGGCATCAGTTTGGGACTGAACAATAACAACGGACACCTCGTTAAGCGGGCAGTAGGTAATGTAGAATGGGTGACCTGCTCAGCCACAAGCTTTGGCCTTTCAGGATGCTGCCCCACCTCCCACAATGGTTATAGCAAGCGCTGAAGCCCTCATGCTCATTCCTGGGAGGTTCCTGGGTGAAGCGAGCTTCACTGGCCCACATGATGACGCTCTCCTCCCCACCTCTGCCGTCTTCCAAGCACCTTGATGAGGGTGGTAAGATGCTGCTTGTCTTTTGGGCCGGGATAGAGCCAGGCGATATCCAGCCCGTCAAAGCCATGGGTCCGCAGAAATGGGGCTACTGACTTGACGAAAGTGCTGCGCATATTAGTATTGGAGGCAATCCTGGAAAATCTAGAACAGAATCACCCCACAGAGAGCTTGGCACTCTTGTGCCAGGGACCCTGGCCCTACAACGGGGTTTCCAGGGCTTGGGATCAGGGGACCTAAACTGACAGATCTAGGAAAGCCTTCTACCAACAGCACCCAGTCTGGGAACTTAGAAAGTTGGGGGAGGACAGGCAGTCCTAGTGTCCCAGACTGGCCTGCTGTTTTGAGGAGGGTACATCCTGACTTGCCCCTTCCTGTCTGTAAAATAGTAACAGTAACACGTGGTGTTGTGGGGAAGATAACAGCAGGGAAGACTCCTGGTGGTCATGCAGCCCCTAAAGGAACAGGGCTCCAGCACAGTGAGCGCCCAATAAGCTGGAGCTGTTATGGCCACTCCAGCCTGCTGCCCTGGCTCTGCTCTGACTACTCCAAGGCCTCTTTAACAGTCTCAGCCCACCCCCTCCAGTGCTTCCTTCCTACCCCTCCCAGCCTTTAGGGCAGTAACCAGGCCGTTGTTTTCATACCTGAGATGTAGTAAAAAGAACTCTGGAAGAGTTGGGCATACTGGCAGATGCCTATAATCCCAGCCCTTTTGGGGTAGTGGGGCTTAAGACAGGAGAACTGCCCAAAATTTGAGGCTAGCCTGGACTACATAGTAAATTCAAGGCAAACCTGGCAACTTATCAAGACTGTTTTTCAGAAAATAAATAAACAAACAAACAAACAAACAAATAAATAAAGCATTGGGGGAATCAAATATCTACCTTATGATTTTTGAAAAGCTCCTCTCTGGCCCTGGTTTTTCAAACATTGCAAGGCAACCACTCCAGAGGCCTCTGTGCTCTGCTAGTCTGGCAAGCCTCGACTCTGCTCCATCCTGCCCCAGCAATGAATCCTACCTTTCTGAGCCAAAGGTCCATCCTCCAACAGACAAAAGGGTCTTCAGGTTGGGGTTTCTGTGGAGCAGGACAGGGGGAGAGCAGGGGTGGAGTGAAGCTGCCACAGGGCTGGGGACCCCATGCCTGCAGACCGTACAAGGATTCTTGTTTGCAGGTGCCTGCCCCTGACACTGGTGTGCCAGGCAGCACAGCCTCCATGATGCTGACTCTGAGGTTCCCCACAGTGCGGAAGCCAAGGAGGGAGACGGGGCTCCCAAGTGGCACCATGCTCCACAGAGCTTCTGTGGGGATGAGAGAGGCCCCTTCCCTGGGCCTAGGGCAATGCTTCCTGTCACCTTGTCACCATCTCAACACAGCCCACAGCCACCCAGGATATCCTCTCACTGAAGGCAAGGTTCTCTGGCTATCCTCCCCCGGGAGGGTCCTCGGGCCACTGCTCGTCTGGACCAAGCTGTCCTACTCTAGGACCAAGCTGTCCTACTCTAGGACCAGCCCAGAAACCTGTCCCTTCTCCCCTTTCCTGGTCAGCGTGTGACCCAACCTGGTTTTAAGTGAATTCAGTGTGCCATAGAGCGTTACGTCATTCCATTCCCATGTGTCAATCTCATTGTTGCTGATGTTGGCAAAGCTGTAGATGATGTGGGTGCATAGGAACCGGTCGATGGCATCTGGGAAGCAGCTCCCATCGCCTTCCCGGTACTGGGACCAGTTGGTGTAGTAGCAGACCAGCTTGTAGGCAGAGCCTGAAGGAGAAATGTGGGGTGGGACTGAGCACCAGTGTGCTGTGTAGGTGTGGGCCAGGGGGTGGGGACAGATGCTGAACAAAATGAAAAATCTTCAAGGAAAGGAGCTGGCCAGCTTCTCCTTCCTGACACAAGCTGATGACTCAGTCCAAGGACTGAGGACTTCCTGGAGGCAGTGGCTTCCAATAAGGACAGAGGCTGGGCTGTGCCATCCGGTGTCAAAGGATGCCCTGCCTGCAGGACCTGCCCTGTGGGGGAAGGAGAGCTCTCTGATTAAAGAATGGTTTTGTGGGTCTCTTCTCTGTCTCCAGGTGGGAGTGACCCTGCCTGGTAACCCACCCAGGATGACAGTCCTCAAGCTGTGGCTCATTATCACAGGGGCTAGAAAATTCTTCCTTTGTTCTAATCCTAATTCCTCCTATGTAAATGAAATCCTTTTTAGCCACTTGGTCATGGGTCATAGATCCCTGTGGCTCCTGAAAGTTGTCCCCTAGGACAGTTTGTGGAAGTTTTCACTGACTCTGAGTCTTTTAAAGTTTGTTGTTTAAAAAAAAAAAAAAAGCTCAAATAAATGGAAGAGTGGAGACCAAAACAATAAATATACATAAGTCCATCACCTTGCCCTAACAGGTATTGCCAAGCCCTGTGAGTCTTAGTAGAAACTGGAAGAGTATTCTTGCATGCTAAGACCTCCTCCAGGAGGGGGCGGGGGTGGGTACTCACAGCGCTGGAGCAGCAGCAGGACCGCAAAGCCTGTGGGGAAATCGAGGGTCAGACTTGATGGCAGGGGAGGGGCAGCTGCTCTTTCTGTGCCCCCTCCCCAGGTACCATCCTCCTTTCCTTCCTCTCTTTCAAGTCCTGCTCTCCTCACCTGCTCCCCTTCCCCCTGTCCCCCTCACTCCTCCCAGGCAGGAGGCTGAGCCCAATGTGCAGTAGATCTTTGGGTAGTCTGAGCCCTTTCTTTAGCCTGAAAATCTACATCCCCACCTGGCCCAGCCCAGAGACCTGTCAGCGCCACCCTCATGTGCATCCTGGCTTCGGCAGAGCTGACCATGCTGGCCTCTCCTAGTACCCAGCTTCCTGTTCGGGGCCTCTTCCCCAGGCTCACACTTCTTCTTATACCCATCCTACTCCACTCCCCCTTACCCCAAACAATCGTCCTTACAGGAAACCGAGCTGTGGGTAGGCCCAATTGCTGGCGAGTGGAGGCGGAGTGCCAGAGCAGGATTGGGAAACCCCGGAGTTTTGAAAGCCTTGGGCCAAGTTTTGCAGTACCTGCCAGCTGAAGAGCCATGGGGGTGACAGTCGAGGACCTCCCTGGGAGTGACAGTCACATCCCCAAAACCTTCCTACCCTGTCTTCTCTTCCTGTCACTTGCTTCTTGCCAGCAGTCTCCCGGCTTTCCTGGCAGCTCCTGTCTGCAGCTCCAGCCTAAAGCAGGCACAATCGGGTTATGTAAGCCATAGTACCCAAACAAGGCCACCATTATATTGTCTGGCCTCACCTCAGACTTTCTCTGTTTCCTGGCAGTTTCCATACCTGGCCAGAGTCTAGGTGAGGACCAGAGAACCTTGGCGCTGGGGGGGGGGGGGGGGGTCCCTACATCCCTTCTTTTAGCAATTGCTGATTATTGAATCTGGGAATTTGGGACAGGAGAGAGAAATCCCTGAGAAGGCCCTCATCCCTCTGGCTGCCTCCCCTCTTTTAAATGCCAGTGCAGATGAGCACACAAGGCTCTGCTGTAAGCCTCACACTATGGTGGATTCTCCTGGGAGCAGCAGCAGCAGGTTCTCAGATCAATATTGCCTCTCTTCTCGGAGATGCTTTGGGACCCCAAACTCAATGAGGCATCCCCACTCTGAATCCTACAGTGGCTTCCAGGGCTTTTAGTGAACGAAGGATCTCAGGTGAAGCAAGTGCTCAGCTCTTCGAGGCATGGCTTCTGTCCTCTGCACTAACAGAAGATGGTTCATTGCTGTTTCTCCAAGACAAGGCACATGATGTAGCTCGGGCTGGCCTCAAACTAACATCCCTCCTGCTTTAGTGTCCTGAGTGCTGGGATTACTGCTGTGCACTACCGTGTTCACTTAAATGACAGCAGCAACAAAGGAACAAAAAACCCTCACAAAATCCAAAAGATTTAATGACGGCAAAAACAAACAAACCCCGCTGAACAAAAACAAAAATATGTCTTAGGGGAACTGTGTGCTTTGGTCCCTGTTCATGAACACCGTTGTGTGTCTGTGTGTAGTGTGTATGTATGTGGTATGTGTGTATATGTGTGTTGGGAGGGGGAACCCCAAGATCCAGGGCAATTCCATCCTTTGCAGACCATGTATAACACACAACTAGCCGCTAGTGAGTGCAAAGTTCACAACTCAGGAGCCAGAACGGATCAGAGACGGGGCTTCCTAGCCAAGTCCCCTTGTTTTTATAACTCTGCTGGGAAGCAGAGCTGGCCATTATCAGTCAGCTCTCTGAGGTCTTCTGGTTCTGCCTGACTAGAAGTCCCTGGCAGGCATGGAGCTCCTCCAGTGTTGGCCTTTAGCAGCTTTGGGGTCTCTCAGCATGGGACAGTGCAGTGACAGTGGTGGCAGCGGGCAGCAAAAGCAGCAGTGGACCCTTCTAGACTACAGCTCTCCTCCAGGACTAGCGCCCTCACCCACAGGTATTGCAGCCCTTGTGCCAACCCATGGGTCCCCGAGCCTTTGGAAGCAGCAGGCAGCATCACACCTTCCAGGGAGGCCTGGGCGTCAGGACTCCTCAGCTGTTCACAGCAGTTAGTGTTTCACTTCCTGGTCTGGGTATCTGAGACCCTTGACTCCACAGGCTTAACAGCTCTTTGGAACCTTCCCAGTGACCAAGGCCTGTAGTGTCTTTTCTCTGGCCCTTGACAACCTTCAGCCCCAGCTCTCCATCTCCCCTATTTCCACCATCTCCTGCCCTGGCTACTCTCTCACACTTCAGCTGTCTTTACTTCAGTGGTTGGGTAGTCGGCCATTCTTCCGTTAGGCAGCTAGCTGCCTTCCTACTTCTTGAGCTAGCCTGCTGCCTGCCCTCATGGCTGCTGCTGCCCCTCAGCCCCCCTGTTTCTGCCACTCTGCTGTCTGTGGGTGCTTTTTTCTTGTGTCACCAGCTCAGCCCACACTACTAAAAGTAGAGAAGAGAAGAACTCCCAAGAGAAGCTTTTTATTGGGTCTAAAGAATGGCAGGCTGTCTCCCAGCCAAGCCACACAGATGGGCAGATTAGAGTGTTTGGAGCAATCACAATGCATCTCATGTGCAGTGCGGATTTATGATTTCACTAAAAAAAAAAAAACAATAATCCTTCAGCTAGGCCAGGAGAGGAAGTACTCTCTTCTGGAAGGTGGAGTTGGTTGACTGGTCATCTAGAGTTTACCAAGGCAAAAATGTCTGATACAAACTGTTTGAAACAGTTCTGGCTGACACTGGCCTTCAGGAGGCAGTGCACTTTATCATGGTGCCTGTAAAGGAGCCAGAATGGCTGGTGCGAGCAAAAATGTAGACCAGCTTTCTTATTTGTTTATTTATTTATCTGTTTGTTTGTATAGGATATCACTGTGTGGCCCTGGCTGTCCTGGAACTTACTATATAGACCAGGCTGGCCTTGAACTCAGAGACACTCCTGCCTTTGCTTCCTGAGAGCTGGGATTAAAGGCATTGCCACTCTCCTTGAGGCTGGCTGGCTTTTAGACTGACAGTCTTTTTGCTCAAGGTAGCTGGGACAAAAAGGGGAAACCCAACAGCTGCTAATTAGGGAGTCATAGCGCCCTTTTCCTTAATATCTTTGCTTATTTGCAGGAGAATTAGCATTAGGAGGGGTGCTACAATAAGGATTAATCACTAACACAAGAACTGATTTTAAGCTCATTAAAGATGCTTTAACAGTGCTTAACATTTGCCCAGCACCCCAGGGACAGGCAGCTTCCCTTCCCTCCTCTGTCTTAGTCACCCTCCCTTTCTCTCAAAGCTTCCAGCCCCTGCCGTATGCGTAAGATAACTAGACAAACAGGGCCTGGTCCTGAATTAGACTCTGGGTGGCAAAGCTCATGACAGGCTTCTTTAAGGTGACAGGCTTCTTTTGAACCAAAGATGATTGAACGCAATGGTAGCCACTGAGGTGTGTCTCCTGACTGGGGCATTTCGAGGAAGATTGCCTCCCATTTCTGATGAAGACAGTACAGAGTAGCCCAACAGGGCTCAGGATGTGAAGAAAAAGCTGTTTGTTTTCATATTTTTCCTGTTAGAAGTTCTCTAGAGGGTTTGGATTGCTGTAAGCCTTCTGGTCCTGTGAGCCCTAAAGCTCATTTTATTAATTCCATATATTCTGCATGAAGGTAACATTGTCACAGGGCTCCCCGGGAGGACTATCTCAGCAACACTTTCTTACAAAGGGTCCCATGGCTTAGCACGTCTTATTTCATCTCACACCACATTCCACTCACTAAACTATTTCTAGCATTTTCTTTCAGAGTGTTGTGTGTGTCTTCCACCACAGGGCCTTTGCATATGCTGTGCACAATATCCACAAAGGGCTGGAGACTCTGTGATATAGTCAGCTGCCAGAGTCTCCTGGACTCCACCTCAGAAACTGCTCAAGTGTCCTTTTGTGTGGCTATGACAAACACCAAGACTAAAAGCAATTTAGAGGAGGGGTTTACTTCAGCTTCCATCACTGTGGGAAGTCGGGACAGGAATTCCAGCAGGAACTTGAAGCAAAATGGAAATAATGAAGGAAATGTTGTTTGTTGGCTAATTGGTCTGTGCTTGCTGGCTCTTTTAATATAGCCCAGAACCAGCTTTCCCGAACTGGTGCTACCAATAGAAGGTCCAGCCTGCCTGTATCAGTTAACAATGGAGACAGGGCCCCACAGTCACACCCGCAGGCCAGTCTGAACTGTGACATCCCTCGGCGTCTCCTCTCAGGTAATGGTAGGCTGTGTCAAGTTGACATTTAAAGCTAATTAGGAAAAGATAAAGTGCTTTGTATTGCTCAGGAACAGCAAGCGACACAACTATGTAGTTGAGTGAGTTCCACAGGGGCCCCAAGCCTGAAGTGGGTAGCAGCCCGAGGGGGTGCTGGGTATGGCATGGGTTACATCACAGCACAAGACCTCACTTAAGAAACTTAGATCTTTTAGAAAGATCAGTAGGCCCTTGACCCCCTGGGGGCGGGGATTGTCCTTGAGAAATGCAAAGCGACCAGGCTTTGCGCTGCAACAGCATCAGTGAAAGGAGACCACGCCTCTGCGCAGAGGCGTCCGCAGCGTAGACTCTCCGGAAGTGCTGCCCAGCACTGCCCGTCTTTGGCCCATCTACCCTCCTCATCTTTCTAATTTCTGCAGGCTCCTCAGTTTCCAGGAAAGGCGGACTCCGGCGTGAGGGTGGGGCTCACGGGGCCTGACAGAGTCCCCTGTGTCACTCTCCCTAATTCCTGAGCTGGTTATAATTGAGGTGTGTGCTTGTGAAGGTTAGTAAGCACAGGACGTACTTGTGCTTACATCCTCCTGTGTACCCTCCGTAGTGCCGGAGCCCAACAGCTGCTCATCCTCCTGTGTACCCACCTTAGTGCCCCATGGATGGCCTGTAATTGCTTAGCGAAGCTTGTGTGGAGTGGCCAGAGAAGCAAGTGCGTGAGCACGAAGGGAGGCACCGCTCCAAACTCTATTTTAAGTTAGTGTTCTCAAATTTTCATGCCACTCATCAGTTCTTGTCACCTGTGGCTGGCTGGCTGACGAGGTGCCACAAAGCCACAAAAACAGTGTCTTGACTTGGTTTCTCTGCTCTAGGCTCCCATGTTACGGTGGTCATCCACTGGCTCATCGCATCAGTGCCTACGAAGAGTGAGCTGGATGCCTGGCACTGCGGCAGTGGCAAGACAGAAGAGTGAATGGAAGAAATCGGTGTTTGTTCTTGTGACCACGTACAGAGTCTAGCAAAAGCCATGGGTATCAAAGAAATGAGACAAATTACTTGCATTGTAGCTGTGACGAGTCCAGTGAGGCAATCCTCTCCTGGGTGGGAGGCTTTCTTAAAAGTGTGGTGATCAGGGGAGGGATCATGGAAAAGGACTGCTTTGGCAAGAGGAGAAAAAAAAAAAAAAAGGAATGGACAAGTCCAGCAATGTACGCTGTGATGGCAGCATCCTAGGAGCTCAAGACTAGCGTGGGCTACATGACAAGTTCAAGCCCAGCCTGAATAACGTAGAGAGACCCTGTCTCAAAATAAAAGTTAAAAGATCAGACGGGTGGGTAGCTTAGAGGTAGCATACTCGTCCAGCATGCAGGAGGCCAGAGGGAAGGGAGGAGGACTATGTGCTGGGAGAAACAGCAAACACTGGGGCAGGATGAGGCTGTCAAGAGAGTTTGAGC